TTTACAGGCTTCCAGGTAACACTGACCTCCTGGGGGCAGAGCCGATGACTCCGATTTATGGAATTCCTCCTTTTAGGATTGATTGTTTTCCTTTTCCCTCTTCTCTTCATACAACAGAACTCTGGGATGCACTTAGAAAACACTCATTGATGAAGAATCACTCACAGCAGCACTTTGGATTTCTTTAGTGGCTGATACTTCCTTTCCCCATTTCCTTCTTTCTCTTTCTCTTCATTCCATCCATCCTTCTACTCGTTGATTCACTTGCTATTTATTAGCCCTAAGTGTGGACTGAGTTGACTGTTCTGCTAGCTGCAAAGATCTACCAGAAACCGTTTTCTCAAGAGCAGAGGGATTTACCAAAGATGTTGTGTCTTAAAAAGCAGTGTGGTGACAGAACACCTCACTTTTCCAGAGGCCCCAGTCCAGAAAACACAGAGGGCTACAAGAGTGGAGAACCCGGAAATAAGCAATAAAAACCAGTGTGCAGTTAGAATAGGTGTCCTGAAGTCCATGCTCTAAAATGGAAATATTTACCTCACAAAAGGCAGGCAGCCCTTTCCCCAGAGCCTGTATGGTCTTGGTTTGGCTGCAGCTTGGTTGTCTAAAGGTTTCCAAGGCCATGGCTGACTTGGAGGGAGCTAATTAAGAGGACCCCGGCTCATCCATAGTACAGGAGGCAATGCCTGAGAGCAGGGGAGTGATAGCAAAGGGCCCACAGGATTCGGAAAGCCCCAGGCTCCGGGATCTCAACCTGCTGTGCCCCGAGGCCGCCCGCCCCCTTATGCTGCACAGATATCCACGCCGGTGACCCTGAGCCATCTGAGAAGGTTGCTTAAGCTCAGCACATTTTATATAAGAAAGTAGAGGGAATACATAGAATGTTTTTTTAAGGTTGAGGTTTAAATGGTTAGTTTCAATTATTTTAAGACTTCTAATGTTCTCTAGTGAGGTTGGATAAACGAGGTTTTATTGCATCCACTTATTTTCTGATTATTTTTGCAAGCAGTGACAGAGAGTAAAACAAAATGTGTGAAGCCGCAGCTTATAAGACTGGGGGAGAAAATGGATGTGATCAAATGCAAATGCTGGTTTAAAGGTGTGTTGTTTCCTAACAAGGCCCCAGAGCACCGTGGTTGCGGGCAAAGGCCAAGGGTCTGCCTGCTGGGGCGGGGACTAGGCTTTTCTGCGCAGTGGGAGTGTGTGCCCTTCAGTAAGTTACAGCCTCTCTGTACCTCAATTCACTCACCTGCAAAATGGGTGTAATAAAAGTGTCTGATAGAATAGTTGTGGATTAAATGAAATAATAGTTTTAAGAGTTGACATCGGTGGTAACCATCACATCTTCATTGACTAATGTCATTTGTAACCCACCTCTGTTTCTTGCTTTCTTTACTCTTAACTGAGGAAGGCAGAGGATTGAGCTGAGCATGTAAAATGCATGCCTAGCAACATTTTTGATCTCCAGAGTGCAGTAGGTACAGATTTCACTTCAGTGTTAAGATTTTGGCTCTCTTGTGCTAAGGTCGGAATAATTTTATTAGTGATCAGGTTGCTCCCAGAATCTCTTGGGTTGTATTAACTAAAGAAGAAAAGAAGTTTTTTTTTCTGTTTCCTTGTTTTGTTACTTGATATGCTCAAGTGATGTTCAGTCCACTGAGGTGCACAGCACCTCCTGGAGTTGGGGTGGGTGGGGGTGGGATGGGGGTGGGGTGGGCAGGACAGAGACAGAAGCCCAGAGCCCCAGTTCCATGATGGAGATCTGGTACTGAATTTCAGTGAGCGTTACTTCCTACATGAGGAAATGAGATGATGGCGTGTTTAAATTCTAGAACAGCGCTGGGGAAATGGCATAACTTTTTTTTCTTTTTCTGATTGGTGTGAAATGGTGGGTTGTTTCTCCTGCAGGGTGAATTGGAAAGTCTTGGTAGGAATGTGGCTTCCCCCAGCGCTTGGAGGGGACTGTGATTTGTTTGCCAAAGGCCCTGGTAGCCTTCAATCTGTCAAAACGTTGCAAGCTGGGAGCACTTTGCCAAAGCAAACTATCAAAGTGAAATAGCACACGAGCTGCACACACAGACACACACATGCTCTCGCAGTCCCTGAACATTAATTTCGAATTGGGTCAGAAGGAACAAGGATTTGGGCTAGATTGTCAGTGTTTTGAAGAGGTGTGGGCACAGCTACAGCCTCCCAATTAGATAGGTATGTGTGAGCAGGGTGGGGTATCCCAAAATGGGTCTGCTGGGCAGGGGTGGGAAACTTCTAGCCCTTGGCAGAGTTTCCTCTGGCCCCTGGGGTTACATATTGCTCTAGCTGCTGTTATTGCAGCCAAAGAATAATTTCCCCTCTGGGGGAATTTATTCTATCCCATTCAGAGCAGAGCCCATTTAATAACTAAGATTTTACTCCAGAATGAATGTTATGGGGTACCCCTATGCATTGTGGCCTCACTAGGACCCAGATAGATAAAGACAAGAAGCATCTGAACATCTAAGTACAACTCGTGTTGCATTTTTGCAGCACAGGCGCCGACAAGCATTTTGCTGCCATACCTCATGTCAGTCCTATGAGAACAATTTTGGGGGCATCACATAGAAATGCAAAAGCACTACTGATTTTTATAAATCTTTTACGGAAGAATGTTTAAAAGCTCCCAAGTTACGCTGGACAGTTTTAATGTGGTAATTCACACTATTTCCATTTATCTTGACATTTCAAAGATTGTCAAGATGATGTTGCATCATTCATTATTAATTCAGTGCCTTGAGTTCTTAATATAGCAGACACTCTGTTAGATGCTGGGGGATGAAGTAGAGACGAAACAAACTCTCTGGTCTCAGGGAGCTTATATTCTAGTGGGTGGAGGGCACACTTTAAATGAATAAAGACATAGTCTGTGAGATAGTAAGTGCTTTGGAGAAAAATCTGATCTGGGCTGGGAGAGGGAGTGCTGCTTTTTATAGGCTTGGGGAAGTCTCAGGGGGAAGGGGTGGTGCTGGGTAGACACCTGAATGGGGGGAGGCAACAAGCTGCAGGAGTTTCTGGGAGTAGAGGTGACCGGGCAACCTGGAAAGCAGTTCCTCTGAGACAGAGAAGAACTTAGACTCTCCCCCTCTCCGATGCACTCTCTCCCCGCCCCAAGTGCCCCTGAAAGTTTGGAAGTGCAGCTTGGGATGAGAAATTATGCAGAGTCGCTCCTGGTTGCATTATAGATGTGTGGCTTAGGTGTCTGCCAAGGACTCGGAGGGCTGAGGTGTAACACAATTATGGAGCTGCCACTTGTTTTTTTAACAAAACCACACCAAGCTGTTTTTTTTATAATGAGTAAACAGTGCCAGCATGTGTTACAAATGATTCAGATTTGTAGGCGTGGTTCATAATGTGCTTTCTCGCACATTCACTCATTTGAGGTCAGCGGGGCAGATGATATTATTTCCATTTTACAGATGAGGAAACTGCCGCACAGAGGTGATTTACACAAGGTCACATAACCAAGGAACATAGACTTGTGAGCCCGGATGCACATGTTACTGGTCTCAGTAAGGACACAACCACAAAAAGTTGTGTTTTCTAGCGCCATGGTCACACCCGCTCTTTCCGGCGCCGCTGCCCCGTCACTGGGGGCACCTCCATTATCAGCCCACATAGGCACGCAGCCCTTCTCTTTGGAACGTGTGCATGTGGACACCCTTGGTCCCCTGCACTGGGGCCTCAGCTGCAGCTTGAAGACAAAAGCAAAAAAGATGCGTTGAACACCTGGTTGCATGTGCCTTCACCCTGCTCTTTGTCCCAGTAGTCTCTAAGCAGTCTGTCCCTGCCCACTCGATGTGGTCTGTTCGGGCAAGCCTCATTTACATACAAATGAGGGTTAGTGTGGAATTTAGGATTGTCGGAGATCCCCAGAGTCTTTTCTACCTCCATAAGTTCTAATGCCAAGTTCAGACAGGCTTTCCTCTTCATTTCCATCTCCACACGGAGAGTTTTCCTTGGTCAGGTAGCATTTTTTTTTAATCTCGCTGTTATGTTGGAGGTTTCAACAAGGTTGAGAACCATTGGTTGTTTCGCTTCTGCCCTCAGGGTTAAACCCTAGAAAGGATTCAGGACTGCTAAGTAGGGCCAGAGGCCTTTTGCAGGGGTGCTTAGAACAGTGCTGTTGATCATTTGAAATCAAGGGACTTTGGGCAACTTACTTGACAATACTTGTCTCCTGTGATTGACTATGCTGCTGTTTTCACCTGTGTCATCGCCAATGATCCTTACAGAAGATGAGTACATTGAGGCTCGGAGACATCAGTCTTCCCAGGATCCCCCAGATGGGAAGGGTGGAGTTGGGATGCTAGCCTAGATGTGTTTAAATCCAAAGCTTCACGCTCTCCCAGCATACCCTGCTGTCTCAGGGCCAGCTGGCTCTGATTACTACACCTTCCCTTTATTTGATGACAAGCCCTAATCAGGGCTGGTGACAGTGGGGCTTAACACAGCTAATCCCGCCCGTGGAGAACATATGTGACACCAAGGGCTCAGTCCTGGCAGAGGAAGTACCAAGGAAAGCCTGGAGGTGGGAGAGGAGCTTCCGTGGCCAGGCTCCAAGCCCTGACCTTACCAGCTTGTCGGGGGCCAAGCACGCGCTGGCACTGACTCCATGCCAGACGTGGCAGGTTGTCTCATTCAGTCTTCCCCAAACCTCCGAGCCAGCTTCTGTTGCTTTCCCCTCTTACAAGGAGGGAGACAAGTCTCAAAGAGGTTAACCATTCTGACCTGGAACCCCCTTTGGGAAATGGCATCGCTGGGTTTGATTCCAGGTCTTTCCCCTGCTGTGGCCCTGCCCATGGCTCGGCTGCCTCCCCTCCATGGGCCGCCTTTGCCTCTTCACTGAGTCACATCCCCAGGCTGGACTGGCATCCCCCTTCCAATGATGAGACGGACATGCGGCCTTCTGCAGCTGCTGTGCCTGGAACACACTCACAGTCCTGCCTATTGCTGTTTTTCCTTCTCAGTGTCCTGGGTTCCCTGCTGCTGCTTGGATTCCGGCTTGGCTGCCCACATCCATCCACTGAGCACAGAAAGGTAAGCTATAGACATTCTCAGGCTTCCCTCCTCTGCACAGGGCACTGGGCTCATTCCAGTTGCTGCCCTGAGATTTGTTCTATTTGGAGGTGAGTAGCTGCTGATTCTGAGAGGAAGCACCATTTATAGAATGTTCACCTGTCCTTGAACCCTCCTAAGTCCTTGGAGCTTGAAATGAAGCTGGTGCCCAGAGTCAGTCTCTGATCAGAGGCAGTGCTGGCTGTGAAGCCCACTTCCCTTAGAATGGGGCAGGTCAAGAGGAGTCAGAGAGAAGACCACACACCGAGAGTGGTGGAGCACCGGCATGGAGCTTATACCCTCTGGGGGCACCTTCAGGGGCAAGGGGTGATTAGAGAGAAGGCTGTGGCTGTGGCTGTGGCTGTGACTGTGACTGTGACTGTAGAAGAGTCTCCCTCGAGGGGACCCATGATCTTTGATAGAGGACACAGCCTCTGCCAACCCATGGCCAGTCAGGGAGGGAGCAGGGAAGTAAGGACCTGGCCCTCTCTTTCCTGCTCTCTCTGTCTTCAGCGTGGACTCCCTTTAGCTGAACCCAACCAAAGACAGTAGACAAAAGGCCATTGATGCAGTCCTTGAAGGCCAGCCTCCTGGGCAGCAGAGCTGAGTGAAAAAGAGTGGACGGAACAGCTAGAGGGACAAACGGACAGTTTCAAGTCTACTTCCCTTCAGGCTCTGTGTGTTTCATAGTAAAACTATTCACTGTTGCCTAGACAAGCCTAGTGCTGACCTGCAACAGAGCAGGTGTGTGACGAATGCTTCCTTAGAAATGGATGCATGACATGACCCTGAGAAGGTCCCTAAAGTCCCCTTGTGACATCTAAGAATGCCTCATGTCTACATGGAACAAACTGCAGACTCTTCTCAGAGGAAGAATGGGTCAGCCGTGTGTATCTCAGTGTGACTGTGCTGGTTGGAACCTTCCCTGAGAAAAGGTTTTCAAGGGGAAGTCCAGGAGAGAAGGGAGCCGAGGAAAAGAGAATGTATGCACAGGTTTGCCTCGATGTGACCCTTCCTGGGACAAGTTCTTGATATTCCTGTATGATTCGTCTAATTTCTTTTGGGCCTGTGGATTATGTTCTGGATTTGTTTTTCCAGGCCAGATGTAAACCTGTGTTGTATTGTATTGTGTGCCCCACTCAGATGTCAGCTCCTTGAAAGTGGGGTCTGGCCTGTCTTGTTTACTGTCCTATTTCCAGCTCCTGGGATATTGTGGGCTCAATAAGATGCTTGTTGAATGACTGAATGAGTGGAAAACCTGGCCAAGGTCTAAATGCCATGTTGGAAATTCACACTCCTCACCCCCATTCCGTGGGACTTTGGGCAGAGATTATGTCACAGAGGGCGTGGAATTGGTGCCCTTATTGGAATCCTGAGCAGACTTGCTCCTCTGCCCTGAGAGGACACCATGAGAAGTCTGCAGCCCAGAAGGCACCACGCTGGCACCCTGGTCTCCAACTTTCAGCTTTAAGAACTGTGAGGAATACATTGTGTTGTTTATAAAGCACCCAGTCTTTGACACTTTTGAAAAAATTGGGTAATGAGAAAGGCTGGTAAAGTTTTGAGGTTGCATGTTGAAAAAATCTTACATGGCCATGAATGTTCTTTTAAAGGCGATTCTGATGTGAGCTGAGAAAGAACAGAAAAGCACTGTAGAGAAAGCCTCGGTCTTCTTAGAGAAGACTGGAGTGACCTGGACAGAATGGGAGTAAAGATATAGGTGGTAGGTGTCATTCTGATGAGGTCTTAGGTGGAAAGGAGCAACGTGTTATTGGAAACTGGAAAATATTGCTATGTGTACTGGCCATGCTTGTCATGAAGTGGCAAAGAGTTTGCCTGAACTGTGTTCGTGTTCTAGTGTTGTGTGGAAGCTAGAACTTGCAAGTGATGAAATTAGAGATTTAGCTGAAGCCACGTCTGAGCAAAGTGTTAAAGTGGTGGCCTGGTTTCTCTTGACTGCTTGTAGTGAAATGCAAGAAGAGAGAAATGACTTCAAGATGGAATTGTTAATTGGAAAGTAAACAGAACACAGAACTTAATGATTTGGAAAATTCTCAGCTTCTTAATATTGAAAAGAATGAGAAAGCGTGTTCAGGTTAGATGAGGGTGTTGCCAAGAGACCGTTGGATAAGGAGATTAGTCAGCCATCTTGACAGAAGCCAGGAGCTATTGTTCAAGACAATGGAAGAGTGCAAAGGAGGGGCTTCTGGTGTCTTCTGGATCTGGCTCACTTCTGCACCACCCCACTTGGGCGTCTCCCCTCCATGCAGTCTGGCACTGACACAGCTCAGCTACCCCAGGTGCTGCTCAGCAGCTGGAGGAGTTGTGGGCTGTGCCCAGCAGAGCCTTGGAAGCATGGCCACCTCCACCTAGATTTCAAAAACCAAGGCCTCCCAGCACAGCTGTGGTCCCAGCACCTCAATCCTAGAGAGCCACCAGCTTCATTTCAAGCTCCAAGGGCTGCCAAAAGATATGGGGCAGGGCAGCCTGGAGCCTTGGGGCCCCAACCCCTGCCCAGCAAAGCTGGGAAAGGACCACTGCCCCTGTGGGCCTGGATGACAGAACATCAAGTCAAGGATTATTCTTGAACCTTAAGGTCTAATGGAATTTGCTCTGTTGGGTTTTAGACTTTCTCAGAACCTATCTTTCCTTTCTTCTTTCATCTTTCTTTCACTGAATGGGGAATGTTAGTCCTGTGCCTGACCACCATTGTAGTTTGGAAGCGCGTAACATATTTGATCTCATAGGTTCACGGCTGGAGAGCAGTTTGCCTTTGGGTGAACCAGACCTTGAGTTTTACCCATATCTGATTTACTAGACACCAGCTCCGCAGGCCCCTTAATCTCAAACATCCCAGCCTTCAGGACTGTGAGAATAAATTTATGTGGTTCATAAGTCACCCAGTCTATGGTATTTTTGTTATAGCAGCTGGACTCTCTTCTGTTTTCATTAAGTTGTATTATTTATGACTGTTTGGAATTATCACCATTATTCATCTTAATAGTTGAATCAATCTACCAGTGTTCTTTTGCTGTTGTTGCTCATGTAGACTACCATAACTGAAAATATTTTATGAATGATCAATTTACTTTGCTATCTCTCTTAATTTTTCAAGTTAGCCTTAATTATATATGTATGTGTATGTATGTATTGCTCCCATCTTGCTTAAAGTATTTTTTCTGAGAAAAGAAGAAAAATGGCTTATGAGTTACTTTGGAATGTTGAATTTAAAATTGAGCAAAAAGTATTATATCTTGGTATATGATTCTTCCTTATCAAAATCTTAATAAGAAATTTGAGATTAATTTTTTTTCAAAATTATTTATAGATTCTTTTTCTTAGAGAATATACATTTTAGGACAATTCTCAAACATAATTATTTGTGTGCATTTTGGCTGCCATGATCATTATTGTCCTGCACCTCAGAGAATAAAGGAATCAGGACTTTCTCGGATGGTACTTAAGTACTTTCTTCTTGATATTTTATTGGAGCTTTCTGGAGCCATGGCTGTCATCTTGCTTGGTTAGATCCTCCAAATTCTTGCAAAACTTATGCATGTTTATTACAGGGAACTTAGAAAATAATAAAAAACTAGACTTAGAAAAAAACTTCCTTGTATGGCAGGAGAAGCAGTAGTATCATCTATGTATTTCTGCAATGTAAGACATAAGGAGATACGTATTAAAATAACATCATTTTTAAACATTTTTTATTGTTGTTCAAGTACAGTTTTCTGCCTTTTCCCTGCACTCCTCCTTACCACCCCAGCCCTTCCCAGCTCCCTCCCCTGTTTCTACCCCCCTTTGTTATTGTCCATGTGTCCTTTATAATTGTTCCTGCAAACCCTTCACTCTTTTCCCTTATAATCCCCTCTTTTCTCCCCTGGTCACTGTCAGCCTGTTCTCAATTTCAGTGTCTTTGGTTATATTTTGCTTGCTTGTTCATTTTGTTGATTAGGTTCCTATTAAAGGTGAGATCATATGGTATTTGTCCCTCACTGCCTGCCTTATTTCACTTAGCATTATGCTTTCCAGTTCCATCCATGCTGTCACAAAGGGTAGGAGCTCCTTCCTTTTTTCTGCTGAATAGTATTCCATTGTGTAAATATACCATAGATTTTTGATCCACTCATTTACTGATGAGCACTTAGGTTGCTTTAAGCACTTGGCTATTGTAAATGAGGCTGCTATGAACATTGGGGTGCATAGGCTCTTTTGGATTGGTGTTTCAGGGCCCTTAGGATATAATCCTACCAGTGGAATTGCTGGGTCAAAAGGCAGTTCTATTTTCAGTTTTTTGAGGAAATTCCATATTGTTTTCCATAGTGGTTGCATCAGTCTGAAATGCCACCAACAGTGCACTAGGGTTCCCTTTTCTCCACAACCTCTCCAACACTGTTGTTTGTTGCTTTGTTTATGATGGCTATTCTGACTAGTGTGAAGGGGTATCTCATTGTGGTTTTAATTTGCATCTCTCTGATAGCTTGTGATGCTGAACATCTTTTCATATGTCTCTGCCCCTCTCTATGTCCTCCTTGCAGAAGTGTCTGTTCAAGTCCTTTGTCCACTTTTTAGTTGGATTGCTTGTCTTCTTAGAGTGGAGTTGTGTGAGTTCTTTATATATTTTGGAGCTGAAACCCTTGTCCGAAGTTTCATTGTCAAATATGTTTTCCATATAGTTGGTTCTCTTTTCATTTTAATGCTGTTTTCTTTAGCTGTACAGAAGCTTTTTATTTTGATGAAGTGCCATTTATTTATTCTTTCCTTTATGTCCCTTGCTTTAGGGGAGATGTCAGTGAAGATGTTGCTGTGTGGAATGTCTGACCTTTTCCTGCCTATGTTCTCCTCTAGGACTTTAGTGGCATCATGACGTATATTTAAATCTTTTATCCACCTTGAATTTATTTTTGTGCATGGGGGGTAAGTTGGTGCTCAAGTTTCAGTTTTTGCTTGTTCCTGTCCAGCTTTCCCAACACCATTTA